TTTTAAATACATTAATAAAATAATAAATCACAAGACTAATTACGACCCTGATTATGACAGCTCATTAAATTATTGTCAGGTTTTCCTCTCATAGAATTGTGATTTAATGGATTGTTTCAATGATCCCCTGAATACAAACAGATATAAATATAATGCTGGTACTCTTTATGTAAAAATTACGAAAATCTTGAGCATACTGTATAATACAATAGTGCTATTTGACCTTTGACACAGATGAACCATCTTAAAAAAAGCCTACAATATATATAAATAATAACAATCATAGCAAATACATAAAGCCTATATAAACATATATTAACATCTTCCTTTTAAAATTTGCATAAAAAATGTGGACGATAAAACTGTCTTAGGGGGAAAATAAAAGTCCTATTGCATATACTAGTTGAAATACATTGTACAGCTGAACACAACCCTTAATGAACTTTCAATAGAAGAGGAAACCAGAAACAGGATAGTCATAAGAAGATTGCGGTTGAGCAAAGTAAAAACTTCCTAACGGAAATAATGATAACTATCCTTAAAATAATGCCAAGAGCAGAGGTTAAATTGGCAATGCTGGCTGTATGTAGTAAATGCATTAGCTGAGGTGGCAATGTCAACTACATTATTTTTGTAGCTTTTGAGCAACACGAGTTGGGAATGTGATCAGACATTGTGAAAGTCAAGATGTGTGGAGTATTTCTTAATCAGCATCTAAAATTATGTTAAACTTTACTACTGCCTGTAATAGAATGAGATTGTAAGGAATACACAAAAGTTTATCAAACAACCATACATACTGGAAATTATAAAGATATAAAGATTATTTTAATCTAAATTACATTATAGAATTTCAAATACAAAATAGGTTTTGTTTAAATCACTGCAACATAACACCATTTAAATTCCATGGATGTTTTTCATGTTTCTATATTTTAACATGATATAATAATTGGAAAATAACATTGCAATTAAAAGATGACATTTTTTTTATTACGTCACAGTTCAATATTTATGGATACCATAAAATAGGAGTAACTAGTTTGTAACTAGATATAATTGAATATAGAAACCTCAAATGGTATAGGCATATTACTACTACTAAATGACATGTGGCTGAAATCTTGGTCAGTTGTTAACCATAGAAAAGGAGTTTACATGGCTTGAAATATAACAATTGACTATTCTAGTGACACTCAATTGAACAATCAATTCATAAGTCCAAAAAAATCCACGGACTCAATTGTCGCTTTTAGTTTGAAACATGGTCCCTGCAAGCACTCTGGCAAACATTCAACAGACTCTTTGGCATCTCTCGCCTTCAAATCCTACATTACTTCCAAATCAATCTGTGAGATATTTTTTCAGTTCATTACTTCTGTTAATGACCCATAATAATTAACAAGGTTGATGTCCTTCCTTATTATATATAAACATCATTTAATCACAATTACCATCTTGACCACAATGCGCTAAACTTTCAATAATATCCAATTAAGAGTTGATGGATCCATGTCATTTAGTCAAAATAACAACAAAAATACGAACATGGAAGATCTTAAGTAACTTAATCACAGTACCACAGCCAGTGGGCCATTACCTACAGTTATAAACATAACGAAATAGTAAACTATAATTATGAAAAGAATGAAATTTAAAAAAGTACACTGAATCAAAATGAACATGAACCATTTTAAAATAGGAGGTGGGCTCTATGTATAGATGTTTGGAACTCAAAGCAGCAGCGTAATAGCAGTCATCAAAAATATAATTACTGTATCTTACAACCTACTGTGCCACTTCATAAATATTTATTATAACACCACCCCCATGCCTTAGCATAATTTTTTAGTTTTATATTTATTCATCCAGAGCAAATGTATGATATTTTTTCAAATAATAATTATCTAAAAACTTTTATTATCCTTTGGCATGAATATAGCTATGATTCTCTCTCAAAACTTCCTTTGAATTATATACTGTAGCTGGTTCAAGTAAATGTACCAGTAATAATTATGTTTTCCAACATGTAATGAATAGGTCATTTAATGCTGAATGTTAAGTGAAATATAACTATCAATAAAAGCTTAATTTACTTCTCATTTGATTGACATTGATAAAAAAAAATGCTATCAAATGACATTTAATTGTACTAGAGAGCAGTAATATATTCCATAAGTTACTATGTTTCTAATTGAGTCAACATAATAAAAAGAATTTGGGAGATCAATTATAAATTGCGTGGATTATATCTTGCAGGTAATTCCTAATGTGGCAGGTCCAAGGCCACTGATATCATTAGTCATCATTATAAAATATATATATATACATATATATATATATATACACGGTAATACCATGGCGGTATAAAATAGATCAACTCTTTTAATAGAATAGAAGGAAAAGGCTTGAAGTTTTCAACAACCTCTAGGAGGAGTGGAAGTAATTCATTTAATAGGAACATGATAGAAACCATGGTGTTCCCATTAGTTAGGGTGGAGTCTGTGGCTTTGATGGGTAAGGGACCTCTCCCTTTAATTCTATTGTCTTGGATCAATTCAATATTCTATTTCTTTCAATCAAACTCCACTCTCCAAGTCTTGTTAGAAGACTTAGTTGCATTTGAGTACTATATAGAAATTGCATTCCATATAATTTACTAGAGTCACGAAAACTTGCTTAGCCAGTTGCTGACTGTTTGAATAAATTTGAAACAAAACTACTCTGTGAATCGATACCTACTGTGTCTGTATAGCTTTGCTAGATGGTCTATCCACTTATGAGTATAACTCAGCCTCTAAAACTTTACTTCGGTAAGCATGGTTTTAAATAAATAAAAAAACAAAATATGGTCATCAATGCAAATTATAACATCTCTCTCATACCGTATTTTAATCCATACTTAATGAGGAAGGCAAGTACTCAGGTTGGCATAGTGTAAATCTCTGGGTAAAAATCATCATGGATAATTCAGGTCATTTTGAAATTGTGTAACCCTACCAGCAGTTTCGGTAAAATATTATACCGGAGAATAACATAGAAAGTACACATCTTTTTCTCTGCTCAAACCGGCCACTGATAGAGCACTGTGGATCCAATATAAGCAGCTTATCCAGTAGAATTGCCCTTAAATGTGATGTCAACAACATACAATTTTATTTTAAAAGTTATTCATTCTGTCTGAAAACATCTACGAACTAGATTTTATAAAAAGGTCATATGGCAGGTGAAAGGTCATTTGGAACTATTTCTAATCTTCTACTACTTTAAATATATTTTAAATTAAACTAATTGAAAAAATAGGCAAAATGTTTTAGTCATTTTTATACTATCTTCAAACTGTTTAACATACTACACTTTTTTTTTTTCTGATTTTGGGATCTTTCTATCTACTCTAAAAATATGTAAAATGATATGTGTGATATGAAACAATATCACTAGTAATGTACAGTATCATCTGCTTAGTCCTATAATCCACAACTATATATTCAATATAAACTAAGTTTATATACATTATCTCATATAATTTAAAATGATAATTTCATCCACCATAATTATATTATTATATAATAATATTATATAATAATATTATATATTATATTAGTATATTATTACATTTTTTTGTATATATTTTTAAAGACTTCTACTAACACAGATCACCTGTTTTTTTTATTTTTAGTGCTTACATATCAGTGGGTAGCTGCTGAGTTACTTTAAAATGGGCCAAAAGATTCTCTATTATGCATTTTTAATAATAAATTTCTTTTGAATCTTTAGCGTCTATTTTAAACACTACACAAACCTATTACTTTACTAACAATTTAAAACCTGATTTTATTCATTGCTTGGTTAGTTTGCCTTTGTGCCGATTTTAAAAAGACCAAGTTGAAAAATAAACGAGAATGAGAAGTTTTTGTGAAGCAAAAACCTATTGTGAACAATTAATTGTGAACTTCTCCACTTCAGAGTAAACATGCTTACTGAGCAACCAATCAAATTCTGACAAAAGCACATAACCAAATATGGATAAGGGATTATCCATAACCGCAACGCTGGATAGGTTGGGCTTACACTTGAACCTACAAACACCGGCAAAAGAATATCACCTTATTATAGCATGTAACTGTGACCTTTAGATTTTTAAACACATTATATATTCTGATAGGTATCCATAAAAAATGCATTGACAGAAGAGGGGAGACGACAAATGATAAGAAGAGGAAAAGGAGTGATAATTTATAGTGCATGAATGCAAGGTGTTTATTCCATGATTTCAAAAGATTCATGTTTAATTATTTTGTTGAGATTTTAAGGTGGTTATTATAGAAATCCTCCTAACAAAAATATCAGTCGACAGTTTAACACCCAGTGGATTAATTCACTGGTACTTTAAAAATAGGTGACTTTAAAACTTAATATTTTTGTTGTGGCTCACAATGTCTGTTCTGTGATTGGTTTTTATTAAAAAACCTAATATTTAAGAAAAAAAGAAAAAAAAATTATCTTCTCTCTGTTTTATCATTTATAATAGCCCTATAGTCATATTTTGTTTTAAATATCTATTATAGCATAATGTCAGATTACTTTCTCAGATGTTGATTATTTTTTTCAAAATTGTCGAGCCTATACTACGCCCTGCCCCTGGTCTCCGCCAGAGCCTAGGCTATGCCTGTCCCCCAGCGTCTATGAGAAAAATTTAAGCACTTATCCCTTAAAACCCCAGCCTCTAGGAGAAAGTCTAAGCATGCACTTACCCCTAAAAAAAGTTGAGTCTACTGCTGAAGTGTATTGTACAAAGGTTGATAAAGTAAATTTATATAGAAGACACGTTGCTTTACAAATGTTAACATCAAGTTCAAATATTGACAGTATTCAATCAATGTAATTAAAACATGATATGGCAATAAAGTACTCAATATATTTTACACTCTCCCAAAAGAATTAGTTTTTAGTTTTAGCACTTAGTACTAAACACCCCTGTAGTGATAAATGGTACATACCATCTGGAAACCATTCATCTTGTAATTGGTCAAGGTCTTGAAATAGCTCTAGGAAAAAATAGAAGAAAAAGTATTAAAAACAATTAGATTTGTTGTTTTGAAACATTAAATATCATTTGTATATTACAATAATTATCAAGGTATACTCATTTGCTAATGATATGAAATATTTTATTGCTCTGACTGAATAGAAATGGTGATGCCTGGTTTTTTAAAAATCCCAAGACACAGAAATAGTGAAACAATTTAGGCAGTATTCCGTATTCTACCTAAACATAATTGTATTAACCCAGCACGATCCTATTTAAAATGGAAAAGCAAATTGATATTGGAAGTGTTTAAATGCAATAATCATTCACCATTAGATATTATTATATCATCAGTATTCTCTAAATCTAAGATAAACATAATTTAACTGTACAGTGGCATCTCTTTCAATCCCAATTTTTAAAAAATGATCTAGCCATAGGAAGTATATCATAAGAAAACATAAACTTGAATTATTTTCATCATCCTGTTATTTCTACTAGTTGAAAGAGGCCTGGCAAACTGCCAACTCTTGCCATAATCAAACAAGTTTGCTAGGGAAACAATAACACCCACATATTATAATATAAAACTATAGTAAACAAGCTTATATAATTCTTTAACACACACAAAAAAAAATTTTATTTGACAATATAACAAACACCTAACTACCTAAAAACTGAAATAGGCCTACAATCAAACTTCGCTAAGAAAAATTTTAAGTTAGCTCAGTTGGCGAAAGTATGACCCATGCTGAAACAACCGACTAATATCTAGATATATGATCATATTTTCCCTATTTTGTATATATGGAATCCATGATGTACGCACTACCGTACAGAAAGTGTGTCTCACTGATTTTTTAGTTCAAAATAATATACTAAAATACTAACAGCAACAGATATCAATAAGCTGAGAACAGCAACATAAATATTTTTAATAGAGAGAAAATAACAAAATATGAAATTAGGCATTTACCCAGGGGGATAACATGATTTAATGAATAGGAGACTATTTGTATTTTTAAATTGTATTGTTCTTTCAATCTGTACTATTAATATTCAGCTTTGATTAATACTGTATCCACTGGTATATTAGATTTTATCTACAGAATCTTTTTTTTTTTAAATTATAAATAAATATTTATTGTTTCTAACATTGTAATCTTATGAATGAATTTTTTTGCATTAACCAAAAAACCATTAGGCCATATTAAAATTTTACATTTAATCTTTAAAAAAATATTTTAAAATTAGTATAAATATATACACAAAACAAATTACCATACCTAAAAAATTTAATAATTTCTAAATAATGTACTTTTTTAATACATACACTTTTTTATAAGAACCAGTAAAATTGTGCCCAGGCTCAGTGTTCTTACTTTCTTGCCGATTTCAGACTCAAAATTTTCTTATATTGTTCTTATTTTTACACACTTTTCAAACAGAGAACATTATTATTTTACTGTAGTATATTACTGTATTGAATCTATAATAGAGCATTACATAGTTAAATCTACTTCAAATAAGGTAGATAAGATTTTTTGGTTTTTCTATTTAAAAAAAACCTCATTCAATTTGTTCTTAAGTTGTTCATAATTTTATGCAATTTCATTCAGCTTCAGTGTTCTTATAAAATGTGTACTTATAAAAAAAAAAGGTATACCACAGTGGTTAAAAAATGGGGGTTTTTTTTGTGTCTTGTGGCTGATAGTTCACATCGTTTGTTTTTTTACAAGGGTAGTTCAAGATGGAAATATAATAGTAATACTATTAACCTAGATATATTTTTTATGCAAAACATAATTCAAAATGATCCTTACGTATTTTAATATATCATGGAATAGCAAAAGAATATTATATTCGAAAGACTACCAAAACTTTATTATATTGGGTCAGTGCCAATTTCAATCCTAAGCTCCTCTATGTTCTGTATAACTTCTGTTGAAACATGATACACTACGCCAGTAAACGCTGATGAATAGGACTGAGGTCAACTTTCGGAAATTGAGGTCAGCTGAACTTTGACCCTAGGGACTTGTAGGAGAATGTTTTGTAAGCTTGCAGGCATTCGGTGTCTGATTTATTGGCTTGCTTCTGGAAGTATTAAATTACTGAATCTGGGCCAGAAGATCCAGTAGAATGAAGTTCAAAAGTGAACAGTAACACTTGTAGTTTAATACAATCTTAGTCTTTTTAAGAGAAAATTTAAGATAACAAATTGTATTCATAGAAGTTAAACAACTTTATTTAAAGTTACCTACGGGCAATTGAATAAAAAAAAGTTTGAAAAAGTTATATTTTTTCTTTTCTTTATCCATATAAATTTTTTAGCTACAACTATGAATTTAATAATTTTTCCTCTAACATTTCTGAATAAAAATGCAAGTCTATATTAATAATTGATGTTATCACCTAACCATCATAGTATTAGTATATTAATTCAAATTTTCCTTCTGTATAGGCCTGTCATTTAATTATTCCTAAAAAACTAACAATCATATAGCAATTTTATTGTAGAACAATTAGTTTTGGCCTATAACATCTCTGCTTCCAAAATTTATGCGAGTAGATAAGTTGTTTTGATCAACTTGGGGGTCATAATGCCAATCCTTTGCATATTACATGGTTACTATATTTATTTCAGATAAGAAAATGCCTTAAGTTGGTGAAGACAATGTTAACATTTGCCTTCATCTCTGTGCAATCAAAGTGTAGTAGGCCAACTTTATCATTATTACACTTTTTTTTTATAAGAACACATTTTATAAGAACACTGAGGCTGAAATTGCTTAAAAATTAAAAACAAAATAAGTACAAATTGAGGCTGCGGTAAAATGTCAATCGAGGTTAATTTTTTTTAAATAGAAAAACCAAAAAATTATATCTGTACCTTGTGCAGTAGTTGTGACTATGTAATACCCTCTATAATCAGTAGGTGTACCGTCATTTGGGGCAATTTTTACCGGGATATTTTCTGGGACCAATTTTTTTTCCAGGGCCCATTTTTCCCAAAGCCATTTCTACATACATTCCAGTTAGTATGCTGCTGTACAATAATATTTTTGAAAATAGTGTAAAATTAAGAACAAAATAAGAAGATTTTGAGCTTGAAATCGGCCAAAAAAGGGTGAAGTTAGATTTTTCCCAGTTCCAGTGTTCTTATTTTTTCCTCCAGGAAAAATGGCCCCTGAAAAAAGGCCCCCATAAAAATGTAGGTACATACACCTACTGTACTATATTATAGGGGTTTTTTTTTTTTAAATAAAAATATCATTTGACATTTTACCTCAGCCTCAATTTGTTCTTATTTTGTTCTTAATTTTTAAGTAATTTCAGCCTCAGTGTTCGTATATAATGTGTCCTTATAAAGAAAAGTGTAGGTATCACTATGTAATACCATCTATAATACAGTACAGTAAATATACTGCTGCTCAATAATAATTTTCTACATTCATTCATTGGTTCATTTTACCGGCTCTTATAAAAAAGAGTGTACTGTATTTTAGAGATATACAGTAGAAAATAATTTCCATATATCTATACTGTTTTTGATCAAGCCATAACCATTTTGTGGGGAAAATATGAAAGTAGGCATAACATTGACTACAATACAGTCGTTCATATGTGAACATAAATATGCTGTAATAAGTTATGAATTATCAGAAAATTACCTCAATGTTTTGGGGAATGCATTATAAAGCAAGTAACTAATTATTACATTATGGAATACATTAATTATTATCAAAAGTCTTGAATTCAACTTGTTATGGACAAAACAGGTGTCCTTGAAACCAAAGAGTACTTAAATACTTAAGTAGCTTAACTAGCTAGCATTAAAAGATGACATCACCAACTTAAACACCTATTTACACCTACATTCAGAGCACTGTACAGAAGAAAAGCAATTGAATTGAAGGGAAACTACACTTCAAAATACAGTACATTGCGAACTCTTTCAATATGTCAAGATTTATATTGAAAGTATCAACAACATTTAATTACTCAGGAACACAATTATTTCCTACTCTTTCCGACCAGGATGATATTTCATTTCTAAACAAATTATTCATGAAATAAGTTTAACTACTGTAGTAATATTAATTTTTAGTCAAAATATATGAATATTAATACTCTGAATAAAAACTCTATATCAATTGACATACTGTAAAGTTAGTAGAATTTATGACTAAACTTAACCATGATAATGAAAGTAATAATTATATAAAATAAAAAAAGATAATGAAAGAATGAATAAATTTGCTTTTGGATGAATAAATATTACTTTGACTATATAGTAACTATAAATAATAATAAAGTAACTAGGCCTATAAGTTTAAATAATAAAAACATAATTGTTCCACTTTCATTTAAAAGTAATTATAATAAAAACAATAATGAAAATGAAAGAAATAATACAAATATTAATGAAAATAATTATATAATTAAAAAGAATGATGATATGAAAAAGTTAATGATAACAATATAATTATTACTATCTTGCTCTTAACTACAATCCCAATGATCAGCTTTGGCCAATGGAATTTACATCCCTCTTTCAATCTTACCGTATATCATGTACAAATACCAAAAGACACCAGTAGAAATTATACCAAAATAGTAATTAGGTATTAAAGTTTAACTACAACATTTAAGGTCTTTGTTCCATTTACATGCACTTTTAAGAAAAAGTCGACCCATGCTTACTCACTTTTTATGCAGTCATAAAACATATAAAATGTGTTTTCCTTGGTATATAACGCATAGTACATCCTTAAATATATACAACTTCAATAAATCATCAGTCAATCATCACTAATCCAAACAACAATAAATAAACAGGCACCAACAAACATTTACAAGAGTATACATTCGATACATGACTGATACCCAGAAAGACCCATTAAAAAAAAATGTGACTGGCTCTGGCAAAACCAGGTGTTGGCAGAAAAAATTCAAAATTGGGTTTTTAGTCTTTTTTATTCTGCATGAATTCTTCTTTAAAACAGTGTTTATTTG